ATAATAATTAGAAAACTTAATTCCTTTTTATGAAAACTCGACGAATAGCTTTACAAGCTTCCAACACACAGGACTCAAGAGCGCTTACCTAGATTCGGCTGATTTGGCCGGTTTGCTGCGTAACTGTCCACCACACACGTAAACTGTCCTCGAATGCCGCTGGATCTCACGGTTTCGATATTAGGTACTATCTCGGATTCATAAATGAGTTAGGTTTGTCGGCTGCGTCACTATATAGTTCGATTGCATTTTATAACGTTTTCGAAGTTTTCAGACGACAGAGAGCTCTTTTTGAGCTTTTTATGGCATGCCCCAGGCACTCATCCATGCCGGCCAGTACAATTACGCCTGCGAATGGGAGTACGCAGGAAACCTGATGCATATTTTTCGCAGTCTTTTTTGTTTTTAAGCCCCTTTATGTGGTTTAAGGCCAATTCGGCGAACATGTTCGTCCTTTTGCCGACAGTCTTATAGACCCAGAAAAAAAGTACACCTCTAGAATTCCAAGTGTGAAGTAGACGATTTTTTACAAGGTGATTATCGCGGGCGGTTACCCAGGTGCAACCTATTTGTAGTCCTTATGTCTCGTTATAAATGAAATTTTGGGTAAGTGTGGCGAAATTATTTGGCCTCGCCTTGCATAATTCGGTTATATGCGATACATCGTGAGTTTCATTTTCGGTTAAAACTGGGATGTGTATAGAACGACTTTACGAGCTTCATTGATGCAAATGCGGGGACGACAGATAGACTAAGCAGTAATATTTTACGGTCTCCTACAATACATTTTTAAAGATAATTATATGATTAGCATGCTTTGCATATGAATAATTGATATTTGTGGTTTTGTGTTCCGATTCATTTACGAGTAAATAATTAGGGGTTTGTATCACCTTACAAGGTGTGGGACCTGTTCTGAAGTACATCTCAAAATTTAGGAGCATAATCAGAGCCGACTGTAACGTTTGGTTTTACAATACGATAGTTTGTTTTATGATCGAAAGTCTTCCAACACGTTAGTTTTCCTTGCAGCTCCCAGAAGAACCGCGACCGAAGCCGAAAGTGAAAGCGGATCTCCTTAAAAAGAGCGGTGAGTGCCAACTATGTGCGTTACAGAATAAAATGCATTATGTATATGGGCAGCCTCCTGTTGGTTACACTTTTTATGCAACTGTACAGAATGTTCCGAGGCTAGTAGAGAAAAGGACGACTCAATCGCTGGGACAACACTTTTATTCGCCTGACGTTTCTAGGTCCGCCGCGGATTCACCGTCAGAAACTTAAGCAGGAAGCAGTAGCAGATACGGGTAACAGATTCGCAGGACTTTGCAGCATTCATAGGATATAATCATTGCTGCAAATATACAACGACAATTAACGGCAATTACCTTCTTGTGTGTTGATAATTTGTTGACCGGCATGCAGGCTCTGACTTGCTGAACTTTCATCACGCGTGGTGGAATTGGACGTGATGAGTGCTCGACCATCTGGCCCCCCGGTGTTGGCGCAAGACGACGCATTGGCCTGTGCGTTTCCTAAGTGGCGACTTGCTTTGGAGTTGGAGTTGCACGCAGGCCGGAGGCAACCGTAAGGTGTCCGATAATGAAACTGAAAGACCCACTATCACGACAAGAAACATCTGGAGTCCTCTAAAAGACTTGATGCAGTTGCGGTCAAAGCAACTATGTCGGAGAAACTGGCAGACCTCTCAAGA